CCCCCCTCCCAACTCATATATTTTTACTCAAAACCCCCCTTTTTTTTTCACCTACCTTAATTAATCCCTTTTTTTAATCCCAAATTCAAATCCTTATACTTCTAAAATTATTATTATTTTATAGTGGAATTCTTAAAATGTTATTTTTAATCTCTTTTAACTTTTTTTTTTGTAAAGAATAAATCCTTTTTTTTTTGAGAAAATAAATTCTTTTGGTTCTTAAAAAGTCACAAAATTTGGTCGGATGAGTATTGAGCGGCAAAAAGGAAACATTGAGGGCCTTTTATAGCCATTTGATAATCATTTTAGTTTTTGGTTCTTGATTTTTGATTTTTCTTAGTTTTTGGTTTTTGGTTTTCTGTTTTTAAAAAACAAAATCCATATATGTTTGATAATCATTTTTTGCCTTTTGTTTTTAAAAAGTTAGAAAATTGAAAATACATGTTAGAGAGAGAAAATTTTATCTAGAGTAGAGATGACAATGGCGTGGGTGTGAGTGAGAATGCTCTCCCTCATTCTCGAGCTCATGAAAATTTTTTTAGTCTCCGTCTCGACCTCGTTCTTGGGTACGAGAGATGTTCTTGAGAAAAATTATCAGTTTTATGATTGTTTATAATTATTCTTAGAATTTAAGTACAAAAAAGATAATAAATATATATTAATTATTTAAAAAGTGGAATCATTTTTGGAACCCGACCCCTGCAGAAATTTTTGTCTTCCCCTAATGTAGAGACATGAAAATAGAGATGTAAATAGACTTTTTGAAGATAAATTTTAGAGAGAAATTAAAATATTTAGAAAAAAAAAATAGTGAAAGAAAAGTTAAAGACAGAAAGAGAAAAATTTTGAAGAAAAAAAATAAAATTGAGAGTTAAAGATATGTTAGAGAAAAAAAAAGAAATTATAAAGAAAGAGAAAAATTAGAGTAAAAACAAATTTAGAGATAAAAACAAGATTTAAAATATAATTTTTATAGAAAATAAATAAATACAAAGATAAATAAAAGTTACTGTCAAAGAAAATTGAACGATAAAATAAAATATAATTTTTAGAAGAAAAAATATATTACGAAGAAAAATAAAAGTTATAAAATATGAAATTTTAGAGTGAAAAAAGTCATGAAAAATATTAAATTTTCAAAGAGAAATGAAATTTGTCTGTTAGAAAAAGGAAACAAAAATATAGAAAAATTTGGAGAAAGACACATAACAATAAATATTCATAATTTGGAGAGAGAAAAATAACAATAAATATTGAAATATGAAAATTTTAGAGAGAAAACTAAAGTTTGTAGAGAAAAATTTAAAAATAAAAAAAATTGGAGTGAAAAATAAATTTTTTTAGAGATGAATATGGAAAAGAAAAAAAGTTTTTGAAAACTACATTTTTATTTTGTTTTTGAAATTTACCTAGAATTTCAAAATGAACGAAAAACAGAAAATTGAATTAGTTATCAAGCCACCTTATTTTTGAAAAACTAAAAATCAAAAATCAAAAACAAAAAACAAAATGGTTATCAAACGAGTGCTAAACAAAATGGTTTTTTTTTTTTATATTTTAAACTCAAATACTGAAATTGACAAAAATAATAACAAATGGTTATCAAACGTGTGTTCACAAAATGTCGCTTAAATTTTGACTAAAGTTGTAGTTGTGCGTTTGAGTGTCGCGAAATCTCTAAATATACTTTCAACGATCCACTCTAAAAACGTTAAATTTAGGGCTCTCTGATTTTATCATTTCGTCACGTCGCTTATCAACACTTTCTAGTAACTATTTTTTTTTGTAGTGAAAACATATGCAAATATGACATTTTCTTCAAAAACTCTATAAACATATCTCAACCCCACAAAATTGTGATATTTACCACAAATTTTTGCCACTAGTTAAAACTCTCCTTTTAAAATTTAATGATTAAAGTACGATTTCTATTTTCCCCTCATAAACTCTACTTTATTAACTCATTTAAACTTATGAAACAAAATCGTTTGATTCTTTCTTAATTATGATTACCTTTAAATAACATATTAAAATATTTTTAAAAAAACCACTCATGTCCTAGCTTGCGAATATTCAAAAATTATTCAATTTGATACTTCCAACTTAAAAAGAATGATATTTTAATTCTTTACGACGGAGGAATAGTTCCAAATTGGTTATCAAATTATTGTATTATTGTTGATGACACCATCCAAAATCTAACTTAACATGTGACATAATGATGTGACATTATTTGTCTAGCTTTTTTTAATTGGTGATTTAAATTGCCTATATTCATTTGATTTTTATTATTAAATGAACTAGTGAGGAGAATGGTCACACGAGCAAAGAAATAATACAATTCATAGATTTCTTTTTTATCATCTAAAATTGACATAAAGTTATCTTCAATTGACACGTTAAATTAATGTGATCTCATGAGCTAATTTAAACTATTTTTCTAATTCCACGCGTTAAAACTTAAAATATCGCTTTTAGAAATTCAGAAATAAAAATGAATAATTTCTCTTATTCGGAGAATAACACAAATTTTTACGTGCTATCTTATTTTTACTTAAATCCTACCTTCAGTTATAGCAAAATATTAATCATGTAGATCGAAAATGTTTGAAGACACATGTAATTATCACGGTATATTCAATAAAAAATTTACTATTTACACGTTTATATTCATTTAATTTTGATTAGTTTGTAAACTAGGTTGTTTTAGGTTGCAAGTTGAAATTTAAAAAATAAAACAAAGAAGAAATTTAATTTGAGCAATGTGTTCATAAAAAATTAAAAAATAATTAAAAATAATTAGTGAGTTGATTGAGTTTGGTTCACTTGATTACTATTCGGTTTTTAGAAAAAAAATCAAAATATTAGGCATAACATTTAAAACCATTTTTGTGTAAAATTCATGATCTAAAATTTAAAAAATAGTAATAACTAAAATATAATTTTAACATCAATATTCAAACAAAAAGAATGGCACATAAGTAAATTAATCACCATAGAGTTGGAATTAGTTAAAAATATTTAAGGTTTTATTTGAAAATAGAATAAGCTGATTAAAAAAATTGGGTTCTGTTTGGACTGTTTTCCTTCTCAGAAAAGTTGTTTTTTTTTTCTAAACATATTTTCAATAAAAAACAAAAAAGGTTTACGTGTTGTGGAATATATCCCAAAAGACAATTTTTATATTATGAAAAAATTAAAGTTATTATTGATTTAAAAAAATATATTATTAACAATAAAGTTTAAAAATACTATTTTTGGTCAATATATTTTCGGGTTTTGTTAATTTTAGTTAATGTACTCTTAAAACGTTCGATTTTGGTTCTTCGTACTTTTTGATAGGTGAAAATTTTGGTTCCAAATGTTAGTATGATACTTTAATGGTTAAATTTATTGAAATGTAATTATAAATGTGTATTTAGGAGTTTTTTTGTGTTAAAATTTCACTGACAACGATCACTTTTTAAAAATACAATCATTCAGACGGATGAAAGAGAAAAAATATAACACGTATTAATTATAATTCATCAAATATCAATTAAAAATGGTTTGAGAGGCACACGAGTTTTATAATAATAATAATAATAATAATGGAGGTATTTCTGCGTTTGCCCTCACACCACGCCTCTCATTATAACATTGTTATAAAATTTCTTCAAACTTTTTATTTTGTTTTTAATTTTTTAATTTTTTGGGTTCCTACTTTAATTAAGCTTTACACATAATATGCACTTTAAACTAACCTAACTTTTATCATTTTTCTTTATTAGATTTTTAATTATGTAAAAAACATAAAGTTTAGTGTTGTTTTTAATCGTAAATTTTGTTACTTTTGGTGTTTAGTTCATTAACGTTCAAAAGTCTTCAATTATTTCCGGTAGGTGTCATTTAGCGAAATATTGACACGACATGTCGATTTAATTAACATTTTAGTTCAATAATTATGAGGGTGAGAGACTAAATATTCGACCTCAAGAAAATTAATTAATATACTTTATCCACTTAACTATAGTTAGACTCTTTTTCTTTTCAATTCATCAAATGGGAAGCGTTTGAATTCCCGACATTTGTTACTAATATATTAAAGTAGTTGAGTCATGTCTAAATTGACAATAACTTTTAGTCGAGTTGTCTATCAGTTTCATTTTGATTAAATTATAGATTTAGTACTTTCAAGTTCGTATCTAATAATCCCTAAACTCTTCTTAAAATGTCCAATTAATTATCCATCAACTTTTAATTTCATGTGTAATAGGTTTTAGACTTTCAATTTTCTATCCAATAGATCCTTGAATTATAAAACAAATGTCTAATTGGTGAAAATTTTCAATTTGTGTCTAATTAATTCATGAACTTTAAAAGTGTCTAACAAACTCTTAAACTTTCAATTTTATGTCTAATACGTCACTGACTTTAAATTGTCTAATAAACCACTAAACTTTAAACGTTGTATTGATAGATCCCTTGCCTATTTCACATTTTTTAAATTTTATTAGATAATTTTGTGTTTAATAAGTACTTGAATTTTAAAATTACTTATTAAACACAAACCAAAAAATTATGAGAAATTTAACTATTAATTTTATATTTACTATAGGACCAATCAAACGTATCCCTAAGGGAAAAAAAGATCTAAAAAGTATCTTTTTTGAAAACATTTTAAAAATCGCAGCTTTTAAAATTACTAACAAACCAATTTGAACCTAACTCAATTGAATTGATGAAGATATTCAACTGATTAAGATATATATCTTCAAAGTCGTTGAAAATTAACTTATTATTTTGTTTTATTCCAAAATTTAGAATAAAATAATGCTTGATAAATAGACGTAGTTTTTACTTATTTTTTTTTTACATAATTTTTACTCTTTAGAAACAAAAATGAAAACATTGCAGGCCAAAAATTTCCGCTTTTCAAGGGTAAAGTGGAAGTGCAAAGTATGAATGATTCATGGGGGTTGAATTTTTAACTTTAGAGAAAATAAAATAACATTGAAAAAGAACTTTTTTTTTCATGTGGGTGGCTTTCAATCCGCCATGATTACCACTCCCAAAAGCACTGGCAAATCCCTTCACAGTTCCTGCAATTTCTCCAAACCATGTAACCAACAAACGAAGGGGGAAAAAAAAGGTGAAATGGTCACTTCCCCATCTTTCCTTTCACCGAAAAGTTCAATTCTAGCACTCCTCTGTTCTGTTCTGTTCCCCTTTTTTCTCCTTTCTTGACCTTTCGATTAAATTCATTATAATCACTCATTAAATAAACTAATGCTTTCCAAAATCCAAAGTCATCACCCCCCCTTCAATCCTGCATGAGTTCATGTGACTTTCCTCTCACTCCAGCCCCGCATCCCCACTCAAAATTCTCGTTCATCACAGAAGAAGAGTCTGTTATCGAACAATCTGTGGGCAGAATTTTGATTTTGTTCAAGAAATTTGAAATGGGTTCCGATTTCTGAGAGTGGGTTTTGGTGCTGTGGGGAGTTTCTTTTTTTTTTTTTTTGAGGAGGCAGCGAGAATGGGAGTCGTCACTGTGGCGGAGTTGAAGCCGAGCATTTCTGGGAAGAGATCGTTTCGTCCGAGTTCGAGCATAAGGCACGCGACTGAATGGTAATCTCTGCTCTAACTCTTGATTCCCATTCTTCTGAGAGTGGGTTTTTCCCCCCTCTCTCTTTCTTTCCTGTTATGTGTTTGATGAATTGCTCAAGAGACTGTTTGACCATTTCGGAATCTAGCATGTTGAGTGTTCTGTGGAATGGACAGAGCGGTGATTTTTAGGAGCTTTGGGATTTGAAAATTCATTTCTACATGACCATTTTATTTTTTATTCTTATAAACACTACTTCTATGTTTATCCATGTGTTCTATTCTATCGTTCTATTATTATTGTTATTATTTTTTTGTTTTCAATATCCAAGCCAAAATTTGAAACTACCAAATGTAGTTTCTAAAAACTTGTTCATGTTTTTTAAATTTGATTGAGATTTAAGAATGACGAAAGACATACCAAAAAATGGGTAGGAACGAGCATAATTTTTAAAAATAAAAAAATTAGAAATGAAATTGTTATCCAACGTATTTGACAAAGCTTTTTCATGGAAACAAGAGACTACAATTGAATAGTCATCTCCCATCACAAAGAGACAAACAGAGTGAAATTGATGGCATGCAGTTTCTAGGGAAAAAACTGTAAAATAATCTGAGTTCTTCGAGTTGTGTTAATCTTTTGTTTTTAAACTGTGTTTTGAGCATTTTGCTAGCGCTTGGGTGTATTCGTATATGCTTGATATTGTAGCTAGGTTTAAGTGTTTCCGCGGTAGGGTTTGGATGATTCATGGGTAATTTTGTCATTTAGGTCCGGTTTGATAAAAAATTTATTTTTTACTTTTAAAAGTATGTTTGCTGCTTGCGTCCTTACAAGTTTTATGGTATCTTTTTCATATTTCTTACCAACTTGGTCAAATTTCATAAATGAAACAAGTTCCTTTTTAGTCTTCAACATTTAGCTTAGACTTTGAGAATGTTATTAAAAAGTAGATAACAAAGCAAAAAACACGGTGAAAATGGTGTTTCTAAGCTTAATTTTCAAAAACTAAAAAAATAAAAATAAAAATAAAAGAAAAAAAAATATTAGTTTTTCTTATTTTTATTTTTTATTTTTATTTTTTTATAATATCTGTGAATGTCTGGGCACGTTAATGTGCACCTTGACTAATCTCACACTAATTTCATTGGACAACCGCTTGTCCCTACGATATTTTGTTGCCAAGTTAACTTGTAGAATTTAATTCTAGGTAAATGGCCTCATGGTTTGAACTCATTCCCTCGAGGCCTTTACTATTAACATGGGCTACTGACTGCCAACCCAAGATGGTCTGTCATCATCAATTCAAATGTAGATTTCGGTTTAATAAGACTGAAAGTTAAGCACAAGATTGTCTCACTCAGCTAATTACAGGGTAAACATGGTTTACATTTTTCTTTTAATCCCTCTCTCAAGGTCAAGCTTTCTTGGCATGGTATAAGGCATCTCATTCTCTAGAAACTGTAATTTTTTCATCAAGCTAAGCTCTGGTTCACAGAGCTTCAAAATTGTGGAAGAAAAACAAGTAAACAGTAGCGTTTGAAAATAACAGTAACCCACCTTTGAGGTTGACTTTGAACATCTTTCTTGAGCCCAGGGGACAAGTTCACGAGGCCTGGTGCTGACTGCTGTCTTTATTTGCTGCTTTATTTTCAATTTGGTGAACTGCAATTTATCTTCTTTTTATTTTTATTTTTCTAATCAATTATTTTTTAGCTTTGCTATCTCTTGTTACTCACCCAAGGACAGACAAATTGTACAACAGTGGACAGAGGATGACATATTTTCTGGCTTTATATTGTATAAGTTGATATGATATGCATCGATCTCATATACCATAAGGTTCCTACGTCTGGTTGTGAATCCTGTTGATCTGTTCTGTTTATCACATTGGTTCGTTTTGTTACCCCGCTTCGATGAACCGATTTGTTTCTTCTACCTTCAAGTTGAGATTTTTAACTTTGTACTGTCTATCAGTCTGCTCCATTCCTTAATAATAGATCCATCATTTTCAGAATGGGCCACTTTTTGTTTGATAATATCGAATCTGGTGTTTCTGTCCATAATTTTGAGGTGCAGATAAAATCCTGTCAGTTCTTTCATGCAAATGGAAAGTTTTTCTTATTTTAGTTTTATCTGGCTGATGATAATCTTGCAAGGTCCTTGCCAACTCTTGCAAGTAACAAGCATGTATGCTCGGTTTGCTTATTCGTTCCGATGAGTTTTCTTGTTTTCCATTCTCTCTCCATTATTGTTCTAATCGGTTGTCAAATTACAGGCCAATCTCTGATGTCTCCAGTGATCTTGCCATCGAAGTAGGAGGCTCAAGCTTTGCACTTCACAAGGTAAAGGAGAACTGGGGTTAATAAATCTAAGTCGGTGGTTTGGAATACCTTTATCTATGACATATATTTATCTGATTTCTTAAGTGAAATCCAACGTATACATAGGATATTAGGATTCACAATGCTTCTGGTTTTGGTTTGTTTCTTAAATAAGATATTTTTAGAAATATTTTCCAACTTTGTTTAAAGAACAAGAATGAATATTTAGAAGTTTTCAAGGAAATGAGTGATCAAACTTGAAGTTCCACTCTTATGATTGAAAATGTTTTGCAGTTTCCTTTAGTTTCTCGTAGCGGGAAAATTCGAAAATTGTTGTTGGAAGCAAAGGATTCGAAAACCTCCAAAGTTAACCTCTCTTATATTCCTGGTGGACCCGAGGCGTTCGAGCTAACTGCAAAATTCTGTTACGGTATTAATGTTGAGATTACATTATCAAATATCGCCATGCTGCATTGTGCTTCTCATTACTTGGAGATGACTGAAGAGTTCGCGGACCGAAACTTGGTAACCAGAACTGAAGCGTACCTAAAGGAGATGGTGTTTCCGAACATATCGAACTCTATATCTGTTCTTCACCGCTGTGAAAGTTTATTACCTTTGTCAGAAGAGATCAATCTGGTAAGCAGGCTTATCAATGCAATTGCTAGCAATGCGTGTAAAGAGCAGCTGACTTCTGGCTTATTGAAGTTAGACCATAACTTTCCCTCCAAAACTGCTCATAACATCGAGCCAGAAACGCCATCAGATTGGTGGGGGAAGTTGCTAACTGTGCTCAGTCTTGATTTCTTTCAAAGGGTTCTATCGGCAGTGAAGTCGAAGGGCTTAAAACAGGATATGATCAGCAAGATTTTGATAAACTATGCTCATAATTCTCTTCAAGGCCTTGTTGTCAGGGACCACCATTTAGTTAAGGGAAGTTCCTTAGACTTGGAATTGCAAAAGAAACAGAGGGTGATCGTGGAGGCGATCGTTGGCTTGTTACCGACTCAGTCCCGAAAGAGTCCAGTTCCAATGGCATTTCTTTCAAGTTTGTTGAAAACAGCGATTACTGCTTCGGCTTCGACTTCTTGCAGATCGGACTTGGAAAGACGGATGGGCTTGCAATTGGACCAAGCTATTCTCGAGGACGTTTTAATTCCTTCAATCACACATGGAATCAACCATAGCACTATGTATGATACGGAATCAGTTGTGAGGATCTTCTCCATATTTCTGAACTTGGATGAGGACGACGATGAAGATAGTCACTTGAAAGATGAAAGCGAAATGATGTGCGATTTCGACAGTCCTGGTTCACCGAAACAAAGTTCGATTCTCAAGGTTTCTAAGCTATTGGACAACTATCTAGCGGAAGTTGCACTCGACTCAAATTTGATGCCTTCAAAGTTCATAGCATTAGCAGAACTACTTCCTGATCATGCTCGGGCGGTAAGCGATGGCTTGTACAGAGCTGTCGACATCTTTCTAAAAGTAAGTATCTCTCTCACTCATCTCCTCTGTGCCAAAACATTTTGTAATTTCACAGCATGATTAATCTTCAAACGCATTGTTACCGTCCTTAACAGGTTCACCCAAACATTAAAGACTCGGAACGTTACCGCCTTTGCAAAACCATAGACTGTCAGAAGCTATCTCAAGAAGCATGTAGCCATGCTGCACAAAATGAAAGGCTACCTGTGCAGATGGCAGTGCAAGTGCTATACTTTGAGCAAATTAGGCTGAGAAATGCAATGAATGGCAACCACAATCAGTTCTTTTTCGGTTCGACCAATGGTAGCCAGTTTCCTTTACGTTCGAGCAGTGGCGCCGGGAGTGGAGCCATCTCTCCCCGGGACAATTACGCATCGGTTAGAAGAGAGAACCGAGAGCTGAAGCTCGAAGTTGCTCGAATGAGAATGAGGCTGACCGACCTGGAAAAGGACCACGTTTCTATGAAGCAGGAGCTTGTAAAGTCCCATCCTGCAAACAAGCTATTCAAATCATTCACCAAGAAGTTAAGTAAGCTCAATGTTCTTTTCAGGATCAACAGCATCAAGCCTATCGGGACGAAGAGCAGTTCCGAAAACCGGTTCCCGTTTCAAAAGAGAAGGCGGCATTCGGTTTCGTGACTCTGAAATCTAATGAATTTGGATGAGTGAAGTGAGAGTGTATAGTGTAACTTAGTGTGATCCTGTCTAATATGAGGTTTATAGTTATTGAGTGTTGATTCTGGCTGTTTCCCTGTTCATCCCAATAACTTTGATACTTTCTCTCTCTCTTCTTTTTTTGGTGGGCGAGTCTCAAATTCTCAAATGCAGGCATTCCAAACTTGTATTCTATAGGTAAAGCCTGAATGTGTCATATTTTCTCCAGTAAAATAGGGTTGAAAGTGAAACCATATTCTTTTAATTACATTACATGGATTCTAATTCTTTCTATCTTCTTTGGATTTATTCGTTAACTAGAATATAACTTAATTAATTAAAATATGTCAAAACGAACATAGCTCAGTGGTAGGAGATTGTAAGTTCAATCCCCACCCCCACATGGTGTACTAAAAAAAATTGGTTAAGATATCATAACCTCGATCAAAAGGTCAAATGATCGAATCCCCACTCATACTATTTAAAAGATTATGATTTATCTGTCAAGTTCAATAGGTTAAGACAAAAAAAATATAATATGTATAATCACACCTCTATATGTTGTACTACAAAAAATATAATATATCTAGAAAGAAGTTGCCAACCAAAAAAAGCATCCTAGAAAGATTATTTTTACTTCCAATCTAAAAAGCATCATAATACAAATTTACATGAGGTTTCCTACAAACTCTATAGATTTTATAATATGATAAAATTTAACTCTCTATTTTGTCTTACCTCAAGCTTCAAAATCATTAGAGGTCGTTTGTAGATGTCTGACATCTTCATATGCGAATTTTAAATGTCTGAAATTTTATACGAAGTTTCAAAAATATCATATTCATATTATTTTTATATTAATTTAATATAATTTACATTTATATAATAGATTTGTTTTCATTAATTTAATATTTTGTTTTTATATTAATTATGTGTATATATTAATTTTTGTATGTTATTAGGTAAAGTTCATATTAATACAAGATTTTTTTTAAAAGTAATTAATATTAAATATAAATTTCATTTTCAACTTTAATATCTTTTAAAAAAATACAATTATATAATTAATGTTATTTGAGGTGAAACTTATTTATTATATTATCAAATTATATTTTTTTCTATTCGTGGTCAACCGCATGGTTTGAACTCATTTCCCTTTAAGTTCTTTACTATTTACGTCGGTTCTCATTGACCATTTGAACCATCCCATGATGGATGGTTTAGAATGAAATTGATATTGATATTATGATTAATATGGTAACGCGGTGCGAGAGAGACAAATATTTGCTACAATGACAATAAAACTCAATATCTTATTTTATTATTATTAAATATTTTTAATCTATGGAAGGTGCCAAGTATTTGTCAAGGATTCGAATTGTTCCCAAGGCAGGACAAAAGGTACAAAGCAATTGACAACCCATGTGATGCTTATGTTTCATTTGAAAGTGATTGTGTTTGAATACATGTTTCTTTCCATACTCCCTCCATTTAGGGCAAAATTATATATATATATATATATATATATATATATATATATATATATTTTTTTTTTTTCAATTGGGATCCACATATTTATAACTAAATAAGGTTATACGATCCTACTTTTTCTCTCTCGTTTAATGATACAATACCTCTCTTATTAATTATCGTGTGATTTCATATTTTCCTTTATCTTTTTATCTTTTTTATTTTTCATTCTTCTTATTTTAAATTGGTGAGAGATAAAGGGTCAATTACAACTGAGCTGAGCTCACGTTTGACATTTGTTTTATTAAAAACAATTATTTTGATTTTAATATATAAGTAAAATGAAGTGATAGGTTTTGGGAGTTCGTATTAAATATCAGAGAAGGAGATTATTGGCTGACAATCATGTTTTCGAAAAAGGAAAACTAATAACAAATAGTTCATACTTTACAAAAGCTAAAACTAAAAATATGATGAGGGGAGTCTCAATAAATGTTATTTAAGAAGAAAAATAGGAATCAAAGTATAGTAATTTTAAAAATATGTTTTACCAAATAGGATGATATTGTAATTAATTCCATTATGTGATTTATTATCTTAAAATAGAAAACTTATTTATATACATAAAAGTAAGACGTGGGTCTCTAATTGATTCCATGGCCCAATGGATAATGCGCTGGTCTACGGTACCAGAGATTCTGGGTTCGATCCCCAGTGGAGCCGTTTTCCATTTCGTTTGTATTATTAGATTTCATATTATAAATAACTGTTATTCCAATCTTCAAACAAATGACTCCGTGGCCCAATGGATAAGGCGCTGGTCTACGGAACTAGAGATTTGATGTTTTATTTTTCCCCTAATTTAGTTATTTTACACTAAATTTATCGTTTTTTTTTAATTGTAAAATACATCTTTAGTGATACCAAATTGAAGTGTATTTTGCCTCTTTTTTAAAATTTTTTTAATTCTTTAAAAGTTTTAGTTTTCATCCATTACGTATTAATTTCTTGGAAAAACTTCAATTTATGCCTGTGAACTAGCTTTCCATTTTAGCTACTTAAATCCCATATACGTGGTATTCTAAATTAGGTACATTTTCATTTATTTGTGAAGATTTGTCACTCTCCACGGATGTCTTTATAAAAATTAGATTATTTTTTTGTAACCATTCATTCTTTTAATTGAATATTTTATGGTTAAGTCTGAATAAATGTTTAATTTAGTTCCAATATATTAATTAATACGCTGTATAAGTTATACCGTAAATTAGTTAGGTTTTATTACTAGTTGATGTGTTACTATAGATACACGACTAGTTTTTGTACGTATGGATTATTTTAGTTTGCTAAGTGTGAATTTTATTTTTTATATATTCATTATTGTTGCTAAATTTTAGTATTTCCGTTATTGGGTTCGAACATTTCTTTAATAAGCTTTTGGGTGTTTCCAAACCGAGTATAGTTCAACGGTAATTGATATATATCTTCAATCAAGAAGTTGTAAGTTCAATTCTCCACTCGCACATGTTGTACTAAAAAAATGTTAAATTCTTAATAAGGTTTTTCAGATGTTTAGTGAATTTAAATTTTTACGATATGTTGATTGGTTTCATGTATAACTTTCAATTTTAATTTTGAAGAAGTGTTAATTGCAATAATTATTTAAATTGTGATGTAAATGGATGACATTTAAAATTTATAAACTTTATCATTTTCTTAAAATAAAAACATATGAATTTAAAATAGTAATTTTGATGAAGTTATCAATATATTATGTAAAATACTTATTGTTTGTTCGAATCTAATTTAATAGATTCGATATTTATTATACTATATTAAGATCGATACTTCGACCCCTCGCCTCGAAGTAGAAAAGAAAGGCATTTTTTCTTAGTCAATTTTCTACACGATGAACTAAATAAACTATGATGTGTAAATCATATAAACAAGTAAAATTTTGTTTGTATGGGTGGGTGGTATATCTTGTCAAACTAAAAATATAATCATTTTCAATTCAATTAAAAGTATATTTTGACTACTCTAGATAATCATTTTGTCAATTAATTTTAATAGTGGATAAAAGAAAATTTAATTTGAAAAAATCAATACATTAGAGGATGATACTAAAACTTTAAAAAATAAAAAAAAAACTCCTCTTCTAATTTTAAAATAAGAAAAGAGGACCAATATTAAAATCTCTAAAAAAAACTCACTAATTTCAATTAAATCTAGCTTTGTACAAAAATTATATAATTCTACATTGATTATTTGAACAAAAACTCATCAGAAGACTCATGTCAGAAAGTGTAACTCGATAAAATAAAGTTTGGATAAAAAGTAATATACCTGATAAACAATTAAATATTAGGGAAAAATTAATTTCTTTTCCCATTAAAAAATAAATGACCAATTGATGGAGGCTAATTTATAAATTACAAGACAATAATAAAAATCACGACATAGTGTTGTATGACTCCATGGCCCAATGGATAAGGCGCTGGTCTACGGAACCAGAGATTCTGGGTTCGATCCCCAGTGGAGTCGATTTATTTTTCCCATTCCTATTCTTTATTCCTTAACTTTAACGTGAAACTTTTGAAAAGATTTATCTCAAACAAATATAAAAGTTGAAGATTTATTATTATTTTTTTGTGCGTTATATAATTTTGCCTTTTTTAAATGGCAGAAAAAGCAAACGACGTCGTTCATGGCGCTACATAATACTGTCCGTTAACGTGGCCATTGCCACCCATTACCAGGGGGACCTTGCTCTATACTTCCGAAAGAAGCCGCGAATTCCATTACCAGGGGATTCAGATATGCCAATTTCATTGTCTCGACTGGGAAATTCCATCCCCTTCTCCGGTACTTTCAGGTAATACCTCAAATCTAGTTTCTGTAGATCATATTGGCGTCGTTATTTGCTGAAAAGTTTCTGTAAATTCAACATTTTAGGATCGATAAATGATTAGTTCAACTTTCGTCATGATTTCACTGTGTTTTGTTACATCAGCCTTTACTGGTTCCAGTGGATAATGTTTCAGAAGCTTTGGTTTGTTTAATCAATACAAAATCGTGGGGAATGCAGGAATTGCTGCCTTTTCGACATTTTTTGTGTATATGTCTGTAATTTTTTGATGTTAGTAGCTTTTGAGAGTGTCGGTGGCTCTGCTCTTCCTTTGAACCGAGAGGTTCTGTAATTCTTGATTGGAAAGTTGTTGATGTTTTACTTATGCTGCCTAAGTAAGATTTTTATATTTAGGGGTTTGGGAAAGTAAAACTCTGATTTAGTGTGTATTTAGTTTTTATGACGTATCGGATGTGGTGAGTTTCTTCTCTCAAGTGAGCTGAGGGATTTGAATTCCCAACACTTCCTAGCTWCATGCTCTAATTACAGTTCCCATCCAGTGTTTAGTGGATCTATTTTTGGTCATCCTAAAAAAAGAATCTTTCATCTCCCTAGACATTTCGGGTTAAGAAGATGTGATGGGGTGTCTATATTTTGTGAGAATGTTGTGAAGTGAGAGAAAATAGTGGAGCAAGAGATGCGCMAGGCACCTAAAATTTATTTCTAAAAGCAGTTTGAAAAACAAAAGCATAAARTTGTTTTTTCAGGGCAACTCCTAATGTTTTTCCTTTCCCATACAGGCAACTGGAGCAAGAGATGGAMACTGTCATAAGGGTTTTGCAGCCTGGACCTTTGGGAATTATTGAACACAAGTTTTCTGCTGAGGAGATGCGCCAGGCACAATCCACTGTTCGTGAAGCAGTAAATAATTGGCRAAGGAATACAAGTATTGAAAAACAAAGTAGCATTTCAAGTAGTCATATCTAGGGAATAAGATTGTTTCCATAACGATTTTGAAAGATATATTGTGTAATTTCTTTATGAGATTCTCAATAAAGATTAGATTAAATGGTGATATTCACTAAAATTAAAGTTGAACTCGTAGGTATGAAATTGATAAAAATAGTAAGCTTCCAGGGCATTTTTCTTGAACTCAAAGAAAGTTGCGTTGGCCTAGACAATGTGGTAATGGAGTATAGTAACAGCTATAGAAGAAGGGCATGTGGATCTTTTCTTTTGTAAATTCTGTTTTTGGATCAGTAACTTAAAAGTATATTTATAAGATGAAGCAGGAAAGCAAGAAGAACAACCTCGGGGCGAGGGTAGTTAGTTTGCTTAGTACTTGGTAGGAAAGATCTAGGGACTTCAAGCTTCATTATGAAGAGCACCAAACCTCTTGAATGTATGGTAGTTTTGTAGCTCTTCCTTGTAAATTCAATACTATTATCAAATTCACTTCCCTAGCTCTATTAGAAGAAATCTATATTGGGTTAGCATGAAGAACATCATGAGGGCTCTCCACTCTCCCACCCCACTGTTCATCCATAGCTCCCTTTCATCTGTGGCTTTATTTTTTTTAGTTTTTATGTCTTATGAAAATACTTCCCATGAGTCGTTTCAAATGGAGTTCAGTGTTATCCAAAGCAATCTTGAGTGGTTGAAAAGAAAAATATTCTCGTCAGAGTTTGGTAGTGCTTTTAGGTAAGTAGACAATTTCTTATTAAAGTTGGAAAATCATACTTCTTTTCCTTCTCTATTCAGTTTGTTCCCCTTTAGTGGTTGGGCGAAAATGTTAAAATCCTCGTAAGAGCTCCTTGTAGTAATAATTTCTTTAGAGAATTTAGAAGTATGCATTGGACAAGAGGAGTTGTATATCTGAAGCTTTTAAGTTGGACAAAAATGGTAGAAAGGGTTCTTTTATAATGCTTGAAGCCTGAAGGATAGGAGCCGGAAGGCTAGAATAAATTTTTAGATATTATAGACTATCCAGGGAAGTAATTTGTTAGAGTGGCTCTCCCTTCGACAACTTCTACTATCTCCTTTGACGTTTGCAGAGGTTTTTCTTTATATACACATTGTTGCCAAAAGCCCTCAAGTCTTATAAGGAGACGCCTTGTACGAAGGAAGTTGGAAGGATTCATAGGGAGTTAATGGTAGATAGAATGATTTTCCACCTTGACTAGTATGTGTAGGGAGGATTTTGTGAGAGAATTAGAGGATTTGGGAAAACCCAACTGATCTCTGCTGACTACCATCTTTCATCCCTACCAACCGACTAATAGTCAGTTTTGAATCATTTAAAACCAACCACCAGCTGCTTGTGAATGGGCACTGATCGTAACATCGGTTTTCCATTCCTATTTCTCCCCTACCATTGTTCATGAGACAGGTAACACCAACTTGGGCCCTTCGCTATTTTGTTTAGAAAACATGTTAATCCAACATTCTTTGTTCTTTACTTCGGTGGGATCATGGTGGAAGTCATTTATGTTGAAGGATGGCCTGACCATTTGTTAATGTTTGAAGCTGAAAGTGAAAGGGGTGGAACAAAGAGGTCTGTCTTCAGCAAAACTATCACCATTAAAGCTTAGCCTATCTTCGACAAAGAGTTTATGATCTGAATCACCTTGAAAAGTGGCTTGGATGTTGAACCTGTGCAGACCAAGATTTCTCTGAAGTTCAAGATTTTAATGTCATGTCAAAGGAGGAATCCTTTTGGAGACAAAGATGTAAAATGGGGATGACTATTCTGGGCTCTTAAAATTCTTAAGTGGGGGAAGGAAGGGTGGTCGTAGTTTAATTTCTGACTTGGAGATTGAAGCTGATTTCGCAATTTCTTTAAGAGCTTTATACCAAAGATAAATTTTAACCAATTTATTTTGAAGACTTGAACTGTCCCATATTTCAACCTTAGGAAGTCTAGTTCTAGAGCAGAATTTCAATAAACAAGAGATTTTCTGGTTATTTCTTTTTTAGAGTGGTACAGCTTCTAGCCTGAACGGCTTGATGTTTGTTTCTTTAAACTGGATCATCAAATTCTATAAATTGGAAATATTCTGGGACTTTTTTTTTTTCCTTTTTTTGGAAATGTGCTGTGAATGCTAGCATTAGCAAAAAGTTTAGAGCTCTAATTCCAAAGAGTAGCTATGTGAAAGACAGAGAGCTATTATAGCCAAGGTACTTTCATATGTTTTCTAGAACGTTAATGGAATCTAAATCTCATTCTCGTCCAGCAATTCCTTAATATGTTGATTCCATTTTGAAGGGATAGGTAGTGTTTTGGTTCAATGCTATTAGAGCCATAATTTTGAAAAGTTTGCCTCAAAGAAATAACAGAAATTTTCAAGAAAAGTTGTACATGTGAGAGAGATGTTTATACGCAGAATTATGAAAGAGGGATGATTGAACAGAAATGGGGATACAGTTTTAGTTTTGTACATATCAAACAATATCAGTGAAAATATTTTTCTAATTGTCATTCTCATCGAGTAAATGAATCCAGAGGGAATCCAAAAAGGAGAGAGAAGAAGATAATCAAAAGGATGTGGTGGGACATCATTTTCTTAAAATGACTTTTGTTGGAGTAGAAGATGGGAAATGAATGGAATAGTAAAGATGGAGCAAAGAATTGTCCTATTTATTACGAATGGAGGAAAAACAGAACTAAATTCTGATTCATCGTTATTGGGACCCAAAGTCACTAGTGTCARAAATGTGAAACTGAGCTTATTTCCATCATCATTTTTCTTTCACTTCCTGTCATATGATTTTTTACTATGTCTCAAGTGCAGAAGTTCACATATTGRAGAAAGAAAATATGAGCCATTTTGATTCATTATGTGCCCTTGTAAATGCTATAGGGAAACCCCTCTTTATTTAACATGATCATTACATGTACATGAAGAACAAGAGGGTAAAAAGTGCTCTCAATTCTTAACTTTGCAAGTCAAAATAGAGTCAAGAGTCCCCCACACTAACCAAAAAAAGAAAGTAGAATAGAGAAAAGGATATGTAGTAATGAGCAAATTTCTCTGGGTATTTTGTAGTAATGAGCAAATTTCTCAGGTGTTTTGTGTTGAAATTTTGCAGCTTTTGTTTCAAACCCATATAGCTCTGGCACTCATGAGCAATGGCATAAGCTCATTCCTGACCTGCAGGCTCATCACCTCTCTGGCTCCACCAATTAACTTCTGCCCTATGAACACTGCAGGCACACATGGCTGGCATCCTAGTTGAAGCAGCAGTGACTCAATATGGTTCCCATTGGGTATCTCATCAAGTTCATACACAGTAGGGTTAGCCCCAAAGCTTGATATGAGTGACTTTATWGTGTAGCTCATTGAGCATTGGCTTCTGCTGAAGATCACTACKGGCCTCTCAGCTACCATTCCTTGCACYGCATTCATGTCCATGGCTCTTGGAAATGTAGTCTCTCTGTTAAGAAGGAAGTTTTTGTTTTTGGYTGTTAATGAGTTTGAAGCTCCCATTGTGCTCTATTTATACTGAGGTGAGATTTCATGTCATGGGGTTGTCTGTTCATTTTTCTGCAAGTTGGAATATCAGAATCTTTMCCTGGTTTYTCTTTTGGTATTGAGATTGAATACCACAGCAGAGAGGAATATAACTTTCAGGAAGCTGTGTAAGCAGATTTCCAAAATACCCTTCCTGATACTTGATATTTGATGATGACAAGGTGGAGTCTCATGGAAAATGTAGAGACAGTTTAATGCACAAACCCAAGTTATAAGTAAATCTTTGGAAGTATGTATGAGAAGAGATAGGTAGGTGAAYTTTTGGAGTCATTTCTTCTGCTTTTATCCATTCAGAATATTGGAATTAGCATTTGTCAAAGGCTCAGGCTTCTTATTTGGCATTTATGGTTCATTTTCATGATATTTGAACCACAACAGTGGTACCAGCCATGCCATCTTTGTACTTTTATTCTGTTTCTCTCTCCCTTTCCTTGAACTTGTCTTGGCATAACTCATTTTGGAGCATCTGCTTAGTTGGAGATAGAGAACTTGGGCTTATCCAATTTTAAAGAAGTTATGGATTTTCCTTTTTACTGATCAAGATTTGGTAGCCATTTATGAACAAAATAATGCAGGGKAAAGGCTAAAAAAGCCAGATCTTGGAAAGTAAAGATTCTTTGTTAAAGGTAATCTTCCAGCAACTGCAYGAAGATCTTCCCAGCAGCCGTACATGAAGGAGATGACAAATTTGAGGTCGCGCCAAATGATCTTCTTCTTACCTATTGTTGTACCTGTAGAGAAATGATTCTAAATTTTGTTCCCAAGCAGATAAAAACACATGCTGGAATATTGTTAAGTGTAGTGATGATTTACCATGGTAAAGATGAGTTTAAAGCATGCCATTTATTGATTTGTAATATCACTGTCACCATTTCATTGATTCTTGTGGATAAAAAAAAAATGTATTAGAAGCTAGCCCAATGGTTGAGGCTACTGAAATAGTACTACAAAATGTTGCTCGATTTTTAGAAGGTTAAAAACCACTTTTGGTTCTTGTACATTGAAGTAGCAATTTATTTTTTGAACTTTTAGTTAGTAATGATTTAGTCCCTGTTCAAATTGGTAACAATTTAGTCCCTCAACTTTAGTATGTGATAAGTTAGTCTTTGTATTTTAAAAATTGTAACAACTAGTCTCGTATCAATTTTTATTACACAATGATTTAGTTGTAATTTATAAATACATTGGTTTCATCAATTGATTGATATGTACATGTAAGAGATCTTATTGAATCTTAACAATATTTTTTTAGATTAAATCGTTACAAACTTTAAACAAGGACTGGAGTATTACATATTAAAATTTTGGAACTAATTGTTATTAATTCGAAAGGATAAGGATTAAATCATCACTTCAATAAAAGTAGAACTAAAAGTATTTTTTAACCACTTAAAACTTAGAATTGAGAAGTTGAAAAGAGTTCTTCGATTTGTTGTATAGTTTGGATGAACTTCGAAAGCAAAACTAACATGAAATTTAAAGGTTAAAACGCTATTTTGATTTGTGTACTTTCAACTTTGGTTCATTTTGAGTTTTTATATTTTTAAAATATTTATTTTGGTCCCTACATTTTCATTTTTTGTTCATTTTAATCTTTGCACTTTCAAAATGCTCATTTTAGTCCTTATATGTTTAAAAGTGATCATTTTGGTCAATTAATTTATTTTTAATTTTATTTTTTTCTATCACAATTTTAACATGACATTACATTCAATAGATTTCTTGAAATGTAACAATGATTTATATTGAAAAGTCTTCATTATGTGTAGGGTTTGTGTTACCATTTTGCAAATGGGAACTAAATGATCCATTTTTAAGAGTACAGAGACCAAAATGATTGAAAGTACAGAAAATAAAAAATGACTAAAATAAACCAAAATTGAAATTACTTGTACCAAAATAGTATCTTAACCAAATTTAAATAACCATTCAGCCCAAGGGAGAAACATAATATTGGCTTATAACAGATGATAACATGACTTCATCTTTTAATTGTCTCTTGTTTCATTGAAAGGGCAAATGAAACTGATCTGCAAATCTTGTAGMCAAGTTTATCAAGATCAATTATGAGATGAGGAATAACAAAAATTCCCAATTTATGAAGACATGGAATCTTCTCTCTATCTTGGCCAAGTGGTACTCTACTTGTTGTTTCCTTATCCCAACAGCTTGATGTGAACAGTTGAACATATCTTCTTGCCCACAGTTTTCAGATGACAAAATTATAACAAGATATCAAAAATGTTCTACACTGGATTTCAATTACTTTTATTGATGCTTTAAATATCCAAACAAAAAGTGAAAGTTCGAGGACTAACTTGTAATTTAAAAAAAATTGACTTTAATCAACAATCTTGAGACAATAAGAGGGTGAGGAGATCATAATTCAATCCCGTAGAACCTTGTGTGGCACAGGATAAAAACAACAAATAACACCAAATGAAAGTTAGAAGTTGTTATAACTAGAAGAACTCGATTCGGATAATCGTCGGATAAATTCGAGGAAGGCTAAACAAAATATCATCTATGGAAGGAAACAAAAAGAACAATCTATATGTTAGCACAAGTCTTGTCCTTTAGGTACAAACTCAAGGCTCAAAAGATATTGCAGAATAGATGCCAAAGCAAAGTAGCCCAATTGGGTCTCATACAGGAACCACAGAATTGTAGTGCTCCCCAAGTCCAAAGGCATGCTTATGGTACGACAGCCTAATACTTGAGTTCACTAAGCCCTCTGATTTGTATTCCTTCCCCATTTCCACATCAGGGAAGGATCCTGAAAATATCATGATATGTTTTTGAAGGCAATGGGTCAAAGCGCCGAGCTCCAGCTGCCCTCCCCACGCTGCTGTTGACTCGACTTCCTTGCAGTAATTTTCGAATCTTTCAGCCAGCGAATCATCGGTGTTGTCTGAGAGGAAAAATGGCATGTAATCAGGTGAATGGTCTCTCATATAAGTTGCTACCATCTTGCGAAGTTCTTGGAATGTGTATGGAGGCGAACCACCTGAAAGGAAGGCGAGCTGGTTTTCGACTGCTCGGTAGAGGCAATGCCCATCTGGCTTGATTTCGTGAACAGTCAAACCAAGAGGTCCAAGCTTCTTTTCCAACTGCTCATTCTCAACCATTCTATCACTCACAATGTTGCTCTGCTCCTCTTCAATTCTTCTGTCTCTTTCCGCCTCTTGTTGAGCCCTCTTCTCCCTCCGCTTCGTGCTTTTGCTGGGCTTTGAATGGTCAGATTGAGCTGTCATCGACACTCCAGCTATGGCCTTCACTAGATTGTCGAGGTTGTTTTTTTCATTTCCATTACTGTTGCTGTTCTTGTTACTATAGCCTAATGACGCAAGTTCTTCAGTGTGTTTCTTTTTTAGCTTAGCAGAAAGTTGAGATATCTCTTCCTCCACCTGTTTCTTCTTCACTTTTTGTTCAGCTTTGCTACCTCTAGCAGCGGCCTTTTTAAGTTCAATTTCTTTGTTCTGCAACTGTGATATCTCTTTCCTGCATGCAGATAATGTCATTGCAAAATAATAAGAATAACAACAAACGTAAACAAATAAAAATTCTGAGGACTACAGAAATGCAAAATGCAAAGGTTAACAATACCCTCCATGCAGTTGAAGTCGAAGCGGGAAAAATGGAACGATATGCAGAAGTAAACAACATCACCAACTGGAAAAAAGGCCTCAATGATGATAGAGCCCTTTGTATCACATCAATAATTCCTTTGAACACATGCTCATATTAAAGTACTTATAATCATGGAACATACTATAAGCTCTGTTTCTATGGATTGAGCATGGTTGAGCAACCATAGTGAAATGTTTTGAGTCTATCTATTGCCCCTGATAACTTAAAGATAGTAAAGATCTCGTGAACATTTTAAGACTATAAAAATCGAGCTGGACCTTTATATCAAATAACCAACTGTTTCAAGTGGTGAGAGCAAGTTAAAAGATTTACTCAATTACTACATCAGCGGCACCAGATATTTAGTAGACAACAAGCAATACTCAAAACTTATATTATCATAAAAGAGAAGCCAAATATGCAAGAAGTGTCATATTTCCATTTACCTATGCCTAGAAAGCATTTCATCACGAGTTTCATGATTCTCTTCCGATGCTTTATCTGGGACGGTTTCAGATGATGCATCCTCTATTTGCTGAGTTTCCTCCATATTCCTGGTATATAGGCAAGAAACAGAGCATGTAAGACCCATCAAAAGCTTCGATTCAACTTCTCAATGTATTAAATAGCTTATTAGCCTAAGTGTGGTTGCAAAAATACTCCAATGAATGAATTCTCACCACAATTAATCAGTAGGAATTTCACGTCTTAAGCTAATCGTAAATGTGGAAATTGAGGCCTTATAAAAAGGGGAAAAAAATATTTTTTATTTGTTAATGGTTTCTTTTCCATGCAACATAAATTAAAGATTGATGAACAGCTCCTTCAATGGCATGAATATTTCCCTTAACAGCTCCAATCAAGCAAATTGGAGAAATACCAATGAGGAACTGTTTGAATTTAAAATTATTGTACAACTCTTAAGTCCACTGTTAGGTTAGAACCTAACAAGATAACTATATTGCAATTCAAAAGATAAACTACAACATCGATAACCTTTCGAGAGGGCTATCTCTCCCAAGTCCCTTACAAAAAAACTATTCTTCACTACTCTTATTTATAGCAAACTCATCCCTAACTAATTACTAATACTAACCCTAAAAGGATCCTTCACATACCCCGCCCTTCCAAGACACCTCGTCCTCAAGGTGTGCATACACAAGAAGACTTTTAACACCAACAAAACTAGAAACTTAGCTAAATAGAGACTAATAAAACCTTAGCTGGATCGGTGGCCGTGAGGGAATATGCAATAGGCTGGCAGACGGTGTCGACGGCGGTGCCTGACAAACGGTGGCTGACGGATGTTGGAGGCGGCATACGAAAGATGGGGATGAAAGTCGAAGGTGGTCGGCAACGGTAGGACGATGGAGAAGCGTGTTTGCGGTGGCACCGACGGTTGAGTGGAGACGCCGGTGGTGATAGCAGTGGAGAAGATGAAGATGAAGGTAGTGGCGGCTAGGTTGGACAACGCTTCACATGGGTGGGTAAGATGGTGTCAATCCAATTTGATTTTTAGGTTTAAAACCTAAAGCAACGAGGCCCAAAACTCCTTCCCTCATGCTCTCTGTCTTAAAGAGAAAATGGGTTTCAACAATTGCATTAACAATCAGCCCACAGAGTCCAAGGCCCCACATGCTTCTAGAGTCTTCCCTCTCGGTCACGTGATTAGGGTTTTCTTTTTCTTTCTTTCTCACATGATCTGCTATCTCTGTCACGAAATTTACAACGACACCCCATCCCTTCTTCCTCTCCGACCATAGCAGCACCTGCCGGCGATGATGGCCGTCATCGATTTCTTGTCTCTCCCTTTGTCTATTTTCGACATGGACATCGACCATTTCCCCATTTTTCGATTACTCGAACGCCTTCCCTTCTGTCTCACCGACAGTGGCCAGGCCTCTCTTCTGACATCCAACCTTCGTCGCAAGTTCTATCTTCCCTGATCCCTCGCGCCCAGTCTCCGCATTTCGTTGCCGATTTTCCGATATACGTTCTCTCTTCCTTCTCCGCCGTTTCTTCTTCGGTAAACCACCGTGCAGAACCGGTCCAGCGATTCCTTATTGGATATTCAATTTCTTCTTCATTCTTCCCTTTGGAGTTCCGCTGTGATTGATGCCTTCTTCCTCTCCTCCTTAACTTCTTCATACTCGATTTATGATAATTTTTCTTCTCTGCTCTCGATGAATCCCTGCACGATGAAATTTCTTCATTTTGGTTGATTTTCCATAGAACTCTAATCCACATTCTTGGGTACGATCGTCGCCTTCCAGCCACTCTTCATCCCTGCTTTCAATATCCCAGTCTTCGTATACTTCACACTTCTTCTTCTATTCTTCATAGCCTGACTTCTATTTTCTGAAGCATTGGTTTCATAAGATCACTTTCTTCGACCAGACATCTCTGAACATTCAGCAAGACCTCTAACACAATTCATTCTTGCTCTGATACCAATTTGTTAGGTACCGAATACAAGAACAGATAACCATATTGTAATTAAAAAGATAAACAACAATATGGATAGCCGGACTATCAAACCAAAACACAGAATAAGCAAAAAGACACCCTCCCTAACGACATTCCCTACCTTTTACCCTACCCCTACCTCCTACCTCCAGCTAAGTACTTCCTCTCTCATGGTCGTTATGGCCTACATTCCTAGTATCTCCGTTTTGCCCCTCCTACTATACTTCTTCCTGATAGGAGGTCCAACATAAAATCCTCCGAGTCAGCTAGTTGTCTCCAGATATGCATGTGAAAATATTTACTCATTCAAATGCATAAGAACTCTACAATATACCCTTAAATTAACAATTCATAGATTAAACCAACAACCAATTTAATGTCTCATACCAGTAGCACCATGATCTAAATAATGACTTCTCATACCTTTCTTTCCAGGCTGTAAAACTACAATTACAACCACAATCACAACTGACTTCAAATACTAGAGGCGAAACTGAGTCCGGAACAAAAGAAATGCAATTATCACCACAAAAACAAATTTCATTACGTTTTGAGATAGAGACGTCGGAGATGAACACAACTAAAATTTTGGGTTTAGAAGCCAAACTTTACCTCAGCAACTACCTTCTGCAAGATTAACTTATCAAACGACCCACACGAAGCTTCCTTCTTTCTATACCGACAATCTTCCGTCGAAATCGAATACGAAGAGCAATGCATCAACAGCTAGGGCTAGCAAGAACAGCAGCCGGCGAACCGATCAGAAAAATGAAGGAAATCGAAGAGGAAGCGGAACTGATAGAGCTAGGGCATGGCGGGGAGACGCACCAGGATTGTCTAAGTGGAACTGGACGAAATTGTTGAACAGAGGGGCCTACAATTCCAGGATATTACGAAAATGTCACTGATTGCTGATGGTTCGGTTCGGTTTGTTTTGGGTTCGGCCGGACGACTAGTTTATCGATTCTGTTTGGTCCGACCAGGTTATTCATTAATATCCATACCCGACCTGTTTCGATCGGGTCGGTACAGAGTTTCTCAGGATTTTTGTTCTAGAAATTCGCAAAATTTTATATTAAAGAGGAAGATTAGTTCTGACTTTGGTTTATTTGGATGCTTTTAAAATGTTTTATACAATTTCTACCCTTTTAATTTTTATTTATTTTAGTCCATATATTTTTAAGTAATTAGTTTAAGTTTATCATTGGTATGAGAAAAAAAAATACAGAACGGATGAAGCGACAGAAATCGACCTGTGTCTGGCGCCGAGCAGTGCTTGGCGCCAAGGCCTCCTCTACGCGTGTTCTCGGCCAAAAGGCTGAGGACCCTAATTCGACTCCCTTCGATTCTTGTGCCCAATTGTTCTCGACCTTTGATCCGATATTAGATCCACGATGAAACACATGGGTCCAGAAGTCCAGATCTCCTAGAGATACTAGGGTTCAACTTTTGTAAAAGAAGATTAGGATTCAACTTCTATAAATAGGGAAGTAAGTCAAATCCTAGAGGTATGCTCATAACACCCTACACTTTATACTAAATTACTCTAATTCTTTTGCAGGTCTCGTCATCCCTTTATTTCTAGAAGATTTGTGTGGATTTGGCGGAATAAGAGGCCAAATTTCTGCATCAACAATCATTTTTTGTCTTTTCATTTTTATTTTTATCTCATTTTTTACTAAAATTTTAACATGACGATTTGCTCAATAAATTTCGTAAATTTATAGTAAAGGACTCCCCTGGCATATAAATTTACAATTATATACTAAAATAGTCACTTTCAAGAAATACAAAAACCAACATAAATATTTTAAAATACTGAATGACAAAAAATAAAAAAAAATACTAAAATTCACATTTTTAAACTACAAAACTAAAATCAATAAAAACTGCCATTCCAATAAACATATAATACTTAAACAAAGAGACCATTTAGACGGAAATCTTATTCATACCATTTTTCAACACGAGCATATTTATATGAATAAATATCTAAACTCTTCGAGTTGAATGTTCGTTCCCACTTAAAGTTGGCACATTTTTTTAAATTTTAATTTTAATTCTCAAACCATATTATTTTCCTCGTGCGAATGTTATAAGTTTATCCTTAAAATTTTAAAACATGAAACTTTAACTTCTTTCTCACGAGCTTTTTCACTTTTAAGTCTCAAGCTCTCTTAAAAATTAAAGTTATAATATTTATGTTAATACATAATTTAGAGAGGCCAATCGATTTGGATGGTCCGGATCCAATGGGTTGTGAATAGGAGAAATACGAAATCTTGACTCGTACGACTAGACCAAAGATGACCTGCACAAAGAAAAGGTGAGCTAATGCCGATCAATTGTTGGTATACACTCCGAAATTTAAGTCAGTATATAAAAATATAGTGGATTGTGTTGTTGTCATCGTACCTCAATTAGATTGGGGCCTTATGTTTGTAGGCTCACGGGGAAGAGGATTTCTTTCCCTCCAAGTAATCAGAGTGGTGGATGTCTTGGGCATAAGAGGTCGGGGCACATGGGCCATGCTCACTTGGTGTGGGGAAGGGTTGCACGACCACGAAAGCTTAGCTCCATTGCGTTCAGAAGGGATAGTTTGGTTGCATGGGTCGCGCTCCTTTTACACGAAGAAGGGTTGTGCAATTGTGGAGGGTGCGCTTCCTTGAAGTGAAGAAGAGATGTTCAGCCATGATGGTGACGTGTGTGTCACGCTCAGCGCGTGAGTGGTGGGCCAATGGGCCAGGATGGTGGTGTGTCTGCCACAATGGGTGCACAAGTGGTGGGCCGATGGGACACGGTGATAGCATCGGTACCATGTTTGGTGCGAAATGGTTGGACTAATGGGCTGCAATGGTAGCGCACGTGCCATGTTGGGCGCACATCGAGCGCATCACATGCGCTGGTGATTGTGTGACCCTCCAATTGGGAGTGTAGCCATTATGGCTGCGCTTGTAGTATGAGCTGCACAAGGGGTGTGGTCCTTTAGGGAGGGTGCGACCGACATGGTCGTGCTTCATGTATGGGTCGTACAATGAGGGATGGCCTTTCCGGTCACCCAATAATTTATTTTTATCAAATTTTTATAATTTATACTATAAAGGTAAAAGAAAATGTATATTACTTTTGTTTTTCACAAAATAAATAAGTATTTTTTTAAGGTTCAAAGTCATTGTTCCATTAAAATTTAATCATCGAGACTTTCTTGAAGAACAGAATAAAAAGGTATTGAGGCGACACATTGCTATTACTAGTTCGATACCACGTTCAAATGCACGAATATTTTCGTTTAACTTAATTTTATAACAACATAAATAAATGAGAAAAAATAATACCAGTAGTAAAATAATAACAATAATAATAAATAAATAAAAAAGAAAATTAAGATGTATATATGCATACTTCATTAAAATATATGTACTTTACTAATTTAATCATTTAATCTATGAGCGTATTTAAATTGCATTATTTCATACGACTTTTTTTTTTTTGTGAATTTTAGATTACATTTCATATTTTTAATATATTGATTAAAAAATGTATAAGTACTTTAATTTTTTATTTTAAAAATGTTATTTTATCTAATTTTGCCCCATTATTTTTTTTAATATTTTTTTGTTTATTAAAAATCCTAAAAAAAATTTAAGCTAACATTTTAGTTTATACTAATTTAACTTCATATTATAATTAAAATTATTTAAAAAATCTTTAAATTATATTATTAGAAAAGGAAGGGAAAAAGTTATATATTCCTAACTTTTTAGAACATTTTTATGTCCTTACACAATTTTTTTTCAACAAAATCAACATGAGAGCTTGTAATAGATCAATACATTTTATTATTTTCTTAAAAAAATATTCTAAATACATGTGACACTAAATATAAAAGAACAATACAAAACAATAGTAACAAAAAAAAAATCAAACTTTAGCTATACACTAATCTAAAATATGTTGATGCTTAACGATCACTATTATTTTACCTCATAAATTATGGAATAGTAATCTCGCAAGCATTGGATTCAAGATATAGATTCGACACAGGTATTCTCTACAACTTGATGAATATGTCACCAATATGATTTTGAGATGTTTTTTAGATTGAATAATATTTGAGAGCAATCTTTGGAGAGAATTAAGTGTTGTGAAAATAAATAGTGAAAGAAAGTATGTTTTTATAGTAGTAGGAGATAAAACGTTACAAAACTTTTGAAATTCTATTATGAATTGTAATTAAAGAAAATAATTTAATTTTATGGTGTAGAAAACCTTTTGTTATTATTATTTTTTTTTATCACACAAATGTAGAAACACTTTTGTGTTCTAACCTTGTTTAGATCATGTACATTTATTACTATTGATAATTAGTAATCAATAATTAATTTAATATTTATAATAAATTATTAATGGCATAATTTTTAAATTAATAAATTAAGGAAGGGACAAAAACGTCAAAAACTATTTTTCCGAGATCCTCCCATTTTAATATAGTATATGCTATTATAGCATATGAAATTAGGATAAGTTTACATCTAATTGTCACATATATTATATAGACTAAAAAGTCGGAAGTTCAAATTCCACAATCTAGTTTAAAAAAAAAAAGTAAATTTGCATATAGTTAGATTTTAACCTTTTGAAATTGAGTCTTGGTTACTTTTTTACACGCTATAAAATTGGTACATGTATGATGTATTTTAATAGATGTGACTCCTTACAAAATGATATGTTTTTTTCACAATTAGGATAAGTAAAGATATATATCAATTACCGTTGAACTTTGGCAAAAAATGCTCTCATGTTTAGTTTTAAATAAAATAAAATAAAAAATCGTTAAACAATTTTACAAACAAATGA